ACCGGGAATCGCCCTGAAACTAATAATATAGAGACTAGCTCCTTGTCACCTGACTGTTCACTCAGAATGCATAATTTCAGGAGTTCAACATGACAGCGGAAGGAAGTCTAGAGTGGTCCCTCTGCGAGTGTACTGTGACAGAAGACGGGGTTATCAAGCAGCGTCGTCTTCCACCACAAATGGAAAATCTGGCTGAGCGAATTGCCCTCAATAGCAGGTCTCTTTTTGCTGCTGTTCTGCTCTGTACCTTTATTTTTCTTCTAACATACAACGCTTTCAGATATTACTTGAAGAATAACAATCGCTCGGAACCCCTTGTCCCCGATGATCTAGCTCCAGAGATTATGAGGGACGCTCAGGCGCAGTTGTTAGCGCTTAATGCACAGGTACCCTTTTCAAGAGGGTAGATTCTTGAGTTTTTCTGAGTCTTCATTCTCAGGTTGTGGCAGCGCAGCTCACGTTGCAAGACTTCGCAGTTTTCGCTTCTATAGAGCCCACAGAATATATCGACAATCTTTTCCAGTTGGAGTCCAGGTAGGCGACCAAATAGCCTTTCATCACCGATTTTTTTATGCAGTTCCATCTTTTTTAGGTATGGGTCACCTCGGTTAGAGGAGTTCGAACGGATTTTCAATCGAGAGATGTGGTGGGTAGCGACTGAAGTATGTTCTGAACGACATATTCAGAAGCGCGCCAAACTTATTAAGAAGTTTATCAAAATAGCTAGGTAGGTCGAAGAGTGTTCTTTAGATAAGAACTTGACCCTGATATATGATCCACTCAGGCATTGTCGAGAGCTGCGTAATTTCAATTCTATGTTTGCTATTATGAGTGGTTTGGACAAGCCGGCTGTGCGAAGGCTACACTCAACTTGGGAGAGAGTTTCTGGGTAAGAGTAGATTTAGCGCTGCTCATCAACAATGAGTAAATTTGATTTCTTCAGGAAGTACATTCGTATGCTTGAAGACGTTCAACAGCTTGTTGATCCGTCACGAAATATGTCCAAATATCGCCAGCACCTTGCTGAAGTGTCGCAAGAACCACCAGTTCGTTGAATTTACTATTAGTTTTTTTTCTGGTTGTTACTGTTTTTTTCTGGATCGTCACAACAACTGTTCAAAAGGTGATTGCCAATGTTTAGGTGGTCCCGATTTATCCGGTAATCCGGAAAGATTTAACATTTTCACATGAAGGGAATCCCACATATTGTGACAAGCTTGTAAACTTTGAAAAGTTACGACTCATAGCAAAGTCCGTGCGAGCAGTTAGTAAGCTGAGCAGTGCACCATATGAAATATCTAGCATGGCTGCGAGGGTTAGTATTTCCTTTCAAGACATCCCTAAGTTTCTACTGCTTTTCTGACTCTCTGTCTGTTCAGAGTGGAAACCTAATAAGCGACGCCTTGCTCCACATGAACACGTTTGAAGGAGGAAACGTTGCGACAATGAGGAAGGGAGGTCGCGTAGTACAGCCAAGGAAAAAAGTGAGCCTCTTGGTTTTGTTGTCAACAAAAATAACTCCTGTTATGGTCTTTCTCATTTTTTTGGAATATCCCTACTACCAAGAAGCTTTTATGGTTTCTAGGTCTATGAGCAAGACCTCATGGTTGTTTCTAGGTCTATGAGCAAGCCCTCATGGTTCGGAAGGTGAAATCATACCTGGATGGGTTGCGAGTTGTGGATTCGGAGACAGAGTTAGATCGCCTTAGCTACGACATTGAACCGCAACCACAAGGTTATTGATTGGTGTCGTCCTAATTTGTTTTATGCTCTTGAAAACTCATTGAGACAGCAAACAAACCTCAGCAAACAGTTGAGATGTAAAACTGCATAGTAAAAGAGGTACTGGTTAAGGCCCACGTGTGCGCCGTGCTCCGAGTCCATCCCCGTCCTCCCTGTCTTCACAATCGGCGGAGTCTAATTCAACAGATCAACGTCGATTCAAGGCTGGTGGAATGTTCGGGGTTGATTCTCCTCAAGCGGTCCAGAAAATGCTTGGTTTGGTACAAACTAGCAAGTCTAAAGGTAAACTCTTTATAAACATTCCCCAAACTGAAATGGTGTGAACATTTCAAACTCAGGTGCCGCTTCTCCAATGCCTTCCCCGGCATCCACCGTTTCTTCTAAAGGTTTACAACGGAATGTTCCTCGTGTATCTGCTAGACAACATTCAACTTCAGTCCAACGAACGCCGTCTTTCAAGCAGGAACCTGTTGATTTGAATAAGGAGACAAGCTCTGTCACCAGTTTTTACGGAGCCGGTAAGTTCACTTGAGCAAGAATTGAACTACTAGTCTTATTTTCTTTCTTGAATTAGATTTTATTCATTCCCTCTCATGAGCAGGTACTTCTTACTATCTTGATTTTTATGTTCGGCCGTTAATTCCAATTGAAGCAAAATATCTACATCTCACTCGAGCTATAATACTTCGGGGCGTCATTTGCGGGCGTTGCAGTGTGGCTTGTGTTTTCGAGGACCCCTGTTAACCTCGTGGCGGAGTGACCGGAAATCTGATGCCATGTCTGCACACTCTTACGAGTAATACCGAATCTTACATGCGTTCCACGACTTGCCCTCTTTCCCTCCTAACACTTAGCCAACACTGCGTGACGACAAAATGCTTTCTCTTCTGGACTTTCTCAGCGAGAAACGGGTCAACTTTGCTCTATTCTCTTCAACCGTAACAGTTTTTTGCTCTCCTAGGTGGGCTCAAGGTCTGCATGGACTTTTATGACCACTGTATCCCCCACATATTCCAGTGTTTCGCGTATGTTAACTGATTTTTCATCACGAAGTCTCTTCCTCTGGTGAAGCCCATCTGTTGGTTCCTCACATACCCTCTCATCTCCTTCAGCGCCTTGGTAGCCGCTGTCCCTTATCTTTCTGCGCTGCAGGATTTCAGAACAAGGACGGTCACAACAGGACCGTTAAAAAAGCTCAATCTTTGTTTGGACAGATGCCTTGTAATCTGAAAAGCGTAGTGCGTAGTAAAAAGAAGAAAAGGGGCGTAGATGCGAACTTCTGATTTATTAGCAAAAGAACTTTACAGAGCGAAGGTTACCATCGAAGACAGCTAACGAAGTGTAAACGTTGCCCAAGAGACTGAGAGAATAGAGACGACACGGCATCTGTGATTGTAACCAGCTCCCGTACACCCCCCCCCCCCAGTCCTCACCCCTCCCCCAATTACTTCAAAAGTTGATCATGAATGCTCCCGAGTTTTACCAGAGAATCACCTTTGCACTGCTTGGCTCTGGAAGAGTAGTACATCAGTATTCTAATTAGTACAAATGCAGAGCAACAATCAAAATGAAAATAATACGCTAAGAAACTAGCCACGAGATGTCTCTTTACTTTTCAATCTTATCTCTTCGAAGGTCGGATATAGTCGTTTGCCTCCTTTCTTCAGTAGTTGCCTGCATTATGAACAGCTGCTGCTAGTCGCAAACCATAGAAGGTCAACAGTACGAAAGCATGCGGGCATTAGTGACCACATTAAAAGGAGATAATTGAACTCGGAAATGTCTGGATTACGTGGAATCGAATACATATTGTATTGTGCTGAACGGTGTGGTCTTTGTGGGTGTTGTGCATGGTTTTTGGTTTTCACATTTATATCTTGGTTATCTCAGTGCTGTTCTTCGTATTTGTGCTGTGCTGTGACTGTGATATTTCAGATGTGTTGATTTAATACAATCCGAAGACGTGGAGTGTGCATCATCAGTAGGTAGCTGTTATTCTCTTATTTTTTTATTTATATAAACTACCCTATATTTTCGATTTTCATTCTTGTAAGTACTGTGGGCGCTTAGGGATAAGGTCTGAAGAAACCTTCATTACAAACTATACATCCTCTATATCCATCTTCGTGGATCCTGATGTTTGCCATGTTTGAGGTGAAAGGGTTAACAGTTGCAGTAGCGTATCACTTTCTGGGTTCAGAAGGGGGGATGTTAGTGATGCTCGGGTGCCTACCAATGCTCTGCTCTCGCTCCGCGCGGCCAATCAAACGCCTAAACGCAGCCGAACGAGCTACGTTTTTTTGCACCCTCTCACTTCTAATTGTTTTCTTCCGTTGAGTGCGAGCCTTTTGTTGTGGGAGCCTGTACATATGCAATGGCGAAGATAGCGCGGGAGAAGTGTGGATATGGCTGTCGGGTGTCGCTAACCCCACCCCCGTTCCTGTGGTCTTTTAGTGGAGTAGCACGCTACTGCAACTGCGGACCCACATGAAGGAACCGATTTCGGAGGTGAGTGTACAGTTTGCCTTTTGAATTCCAACATCAACTAGAAGTTTTCTATCAATATCTTGGCATACGACGTACCACATCTAAAACAGACATACGGGAAGATGGACAAGGCAATCGTAATTGTCGCCGTCGCGCGCGTGTACCGTGCGAGGATGCGTGACAAACTCCCGTTGTTTGTCGATTGGAGCACCAAGGCTCACACATATTCAAGTGGAGACAGGACTAATGGGATTAAAACTACTCGGTAGGACAACTCGTCCGTCGGGCACGGCGTCGCTCGCCACGCCTATAACTGCGGCATGTTACGATTGTCTTGTCACATACTTGGTATTGTGTGCATTTCGCGTTTGTGTCCTCAGTTATATACTCTCAAATTTAGATTTATTAACAGTGAACCCTCTGTTAAGGCTGTTCCATTGTGGAGCATTTCAAATAGACTCCATTGGCTGTCTTCTGTTGCCATTAAATATGTCTTAGTAATGAAGATCAGGAAGTGTGCTCTGACTCGTGAACAAACAATTGATTTTTTTTTTCAGATACTTTGACTAGACCACCGTTTCCTGTTTCATCAAAGCCTCCACACGCTGCCATAACTGTTGTGCAACCTTCCCGTTACAACAAGTAAGTGCCTTCGCATTTCCCCATGTTTGCCCTGTTCTACTGTGGAATGTCCACAACTTTCCTTATTTTGCCTTTGTGTTCAGGAGTACGTTCGATCGTCCTCCTTATTCTTTGAATTTGCATCCAACTACGGTGAGGAGCTCCTCAGTATGTACAACAGGCATATATGATTCTGTTGCTCCTTACTACTCACTGAAAAGGTCCATGAACCTGCGGAGCAACGCTACGGGCTCTTCAGCAGTGGCAGGAGAGAAGACTGCTAAAAAAGGTTGGCTAAAGTTTTTCCATAGGTTATCAAGCTTTCGCAACTGCCGCCACCCCTTCTTCACCAGTTGTTGACGCTGGTAAGCGGCAACAATCGGTGGAAAAACTGATACGAACGATATGGTACAGTCGTGTCGTTTGAGAAAAAAAAAGAAACGGGCTAGCGTTTATCCAAGACCATCCTGTGAGAAGCCCCATCACCCTGGTGAACAAGGCTGTAACTGTGGCAGTTCCGCGCATCGCGAAAAGTCTAATCAATATTGAATCTATAAACTTTTCCGTAATATTTTCAGCTTCCATCGTCGGTGAACAGCAAGCGTCTCATGTTTAGTTTGTGTCGATGTTCATCAAGATTAATGTGTTCCGTTATCAGTAGTGTTTTGTTTATCATATGGATCATGTGCAGGTTCACTAACGGTTCGATTTCGCTTCCACTCATTACTGGCTGCTATGCATTTCATATCCTCATTTTTTGTTGATAAAACCTTTTGATGAGTATAGAGGTAATTAGGAAATTTGGGTATTCATTCACTGTTTAATATAGCACAGACTGCAGCTAAAATGGTCGTTCTTTCTTTTATGTTCTATCGATGAAAGGGTTACGGTTTTTGGTCGAGATGTGATCTTTTACATATTGAATCATTAAAGTTGTGCTATCAATTTTTATACTTGCCATGTATGGGAAATGTTAGAATGTAACTTTCCTAGGTTAATTTGTAGTTGCTCATCGTTCTCATGCACAATTTGTTATGTTCATATTAACCTAGTTCAGCATGGTGTAACACTTAAAAATTCATTTGAGAGAAATATCGTTCACGATCTGAAGCCCCGCGTTTATCATAATGTGTTTATGCATTCTCTGTATCATTCACGTTTGTATATTGTTATATTCGTGTACATTTGAGTAATCATGAGAGACCATTCAGATTGAGATAAATATATAGATTGATTAAAAGAAGTTGCTAAAAAGGCTACTTGAACCTTTTATTTGTTATGAAAGTGTTTCGTTTTTGCATGCCAATACATGGCACCACTGTTTGGTGTTGTAAAGGTGATCAAATATGGGAACATGTGTAATTACAGCCCATTGCCCAGGACAGTCAGTCGGGGAGGAATTCGCATTTCAATTCTCTCGCAATCTACTTTTTTTCGCTTTCTTATCGTAACGTGTCTGGAACGGTTTGTAAGCTTTATTCTTTTTCCGTGACACTATGTGAGGGAGGGGGTATATGACAAGAGAATCGCAATTTGCTGCGCTGGCAGGCGTGGCGAGCGACGCCGCGCCGCGAGAAACGTGTTCTCCTGCTTAGCCATTCGAATCTCAATATGAAAGGAAGGGGATGACTACTCACCAGGGAAGTCCGTAAACTCACCATGGAACTTTGAATGGAGACTTGGGTAGTTCAGTAGAATAAGGATTATTTACAAATATATTTCAAAACTGCAACCTGCATTTCACAAGCAACTTATGAGCAGGTAAAGTTTGTAATGGTGCAGTAGGGTGGAGGCTTGGTGGTGAGCTGTGAAGCATAAGCGAGGAATCGCATCGAATCGAGTCGTCGAACGTCGAACCTTACCACTGAACCACCACGACTCGATTCGACGTATGCGATTCCTCGCTTATGCTTCACAGCTCACCACCAAGCCTCCACCCTACTGCACCATTACAAACTTTACCTGCTCATAAGTTGCTTGTGAAATGCAGGTTGCAGTTTTGCTAAATAACCTTATAGACTCTATCGATCTACCCAGGTCTCCATTCAAAGTTCCATGGTAAGTTGGCGGACTTCCCTGGTGTATCGTCAGCCATTACAGTAGTACATGATGTACGAGATGGCCAAAACACGTGAAATGTGCGAAAACATGAAAAAATGGGAACAATGAATGCAGTGATTAATACGAGTTTCGCTGCTGCATTCAAAAATTTTGGCACAGTCCGGATTTCCTATCATGACGCAACATCCAGATTGAAAATTTCCCGCGACGCTGCGGAGGCGCGGCAAATCACGATTCTCTTGCCAGTCTCCCGTAGAGATGCAGCACTCCCATCCTTCAAAAAGGCAATGAAGCTAGAGGCTGGTACCTTGCTCTATGTTGCTTTACTTATGTATCCGCTCGCGGTTCGATAAGGCCGCGTTCGTACTTTGCGACTGAGAAGATTAGGCGATTTGGGAAATGGCGATTTGAAGAATTGCGCAACGAGAAAGGCATAGTACGAATTTGGCGATAGTGGAGATTGATGCGGCAATTTGGAAGTCAGAGGAGTTGGTGTGCATCGATTGGCGCCAACCGCAGCGATTGCGGAGATTCAAGGATATGGCATTCTGGGGAATCGCCGGAAAGTCTTTCAGATAGCCGAAGCTCCTCAGTCGCGAAGTTTGAACGCGGCCTAAGAATAGGCAGGCTGAAATGCTACACACTAGGCGACCACATATACCCAAATTTAGTCAAGGCTGCTTTCCTGCGCCCTCTCACGTATCGTATGGTTGGCCGTGTCGTACGGTTGCAGTACGTGTAACATGCGGAATGACGGGCAGAGACGTGTAGATCAGGCTAGCGCGAGCTTCTACCTTCTTTGTCAAACAGTGTGGGATATTATCAGTGCCACACTTCTACGGATGCAGATCCGTCCACAGCGGGAATCACCTCTGAGGAATCTCCCGTTATGTAAAGTAACAACTAGTTTGATCATTTCCAACCATTAGACTTCGGTGATGGCATATGTCATCTTTTTCCTATTTTTACTTCTTCACTGGTAGTACATTGTTATCATGCTGTTTCGCCTTCGGTATATAGACGGATGTCATTTTCCTTAATGACATATCCTGCCTTCTGCACTTAACTGCTTTCTGAATTATTATTTTGAGCTCATCCGACTTTCCTCAATAAGAATCATTAG